AGGGGCAGCAGGGACGTGGCCGCACCACGGGGGCCCTTTGCACGGCCCCCCCCCTCCCCTCGCATCGCTTCGGTTCAATAACTAGCAAAGCTCCAAAGGGCAGCATTAACCAAGAAAAAAAAAAGTCATCGTTGCTGCCGCAGGCAGGACAGGAGCCAGGCACCGTCCCTGGCAGGTCCCAGCCATCACTTGGGAGCAGGTGAATCCCCCCGGGATGCTCCCCGGGGCCCAGCAGGGTCCCAGGGCAGCATGGAGGGGTCCAGGTTTCAATTCCCTCTCCCCCCGGGAGCTGCCACCAGCTCGAAGGGGAGCGGCTGGCTCGGGGGCCAAGTCCCCCAGCTCCTGCAGTCAGGGCAGAGCAGGCTGGCGTATATTCGAACGTCTGAGCAAGAGATTCAATCATATGCACTACTTCATTTATTTAGCTGTCCAGTCGCACTGATCAGACTTGGAAATTAAGAGGCATGTGGTTAGAGGGATCCTGTCAAATCACATTTAGCCCAGCTCTTCCCTGCGTGGATTTGTAATGCAGCTTTTTTACATGACCTGCAGCTACAAAACAACTTTCTGCCACTCTTCCTAAAGAATAAAACCAAATTCAGTGGAAAGGGGTGAGGGCGAAACCAGTTCCCCGGCTCTATTTCCAGCCTGAACTCTGCAGCTGTAAGTCTCCAAGCGTTTTAAAACCCTCGCCCTTCTAGCAGGCGGTGCGAGGGTGCTGGGGCAGGAGCATCTCATTGCACGGCAGGGGCCTCGGGGGAGCCCAGGGAAGGAGGACGGGAGAAGGCGGTGTGGGATTTTGCAGTTATTTTTCTAGCTGAGGGCCAGCAGGATTTGCAAACCTCCTCCCCCAGTTTGGGACAGAGCTAAAAATGCCTCTCACCACACCCTGTGCTCGCACGCACCCTCACGTGCCGGCATCGTGGCGTGTGTGGGACAGATAAGGCCGTGCCGGGAAGCTGCGTGCGACTTTGTGTGGAGCAATCCTGCCACCCCATCCCCATGGGGAGGGGACCCGGGGAGCCACCGACGACCCTGTCCCGGTGTCATCTCAGCTCCAGCATCCCCTCGGATCAGCCCTGCGGAGAGCTGCAGTGGGGGTGAAGCTCCCCCCTCCTTATTTCACCCCAAGGGGGAAAAAAAAAGTCCCTCAGCAGTGAATAACCCCAAAACTGGGGCTGCCCACAGCGTGCAGAGAAGTGTCCCACCCTGCAGCCGGCCGGGAGGGAGCGAACTGCCCCCGGGCTTGTGTCCTGATGGGGAAATCCAGCCCCCGGCCACGGCAGGAAGCTGCTGTCGAGCGCCCGGCAATGGCCACCGGGGTCGGGGGCTGT